CAGCCAGAAAGGGTTACTAGCGGACGGTGCTCCAAGGAGTACCACCGTTGTCCGGTAAGCAGGGAATTCACACCACCTTATCGAAAAGTCTAACTGTGTTCAACTGACACATAAGAAGGAATGCCTTAGAAGATTAGCATAGCATTTTCGACAGCTGCCTTCGACGACGCCTCCTTCCGCCGTTAATTTCTTACCAACACTAGAGGTCAGCGTATGCTTTCCTATAAAACTAGAATTCCAAAAGTTTTTGGGGTACTTCAGAATGAAGAAAGACTATGGTGTGAATCAAATTTTCCCGCAGTTCAGTAAATATGGCCGAAGTGGAATGATGCCAAAGCTCCATACCGTTTAGCATGAAATGTAAACCATGGAGTGTTTCTCTGAAGGACTTAAGCGTGGTAAACTTATCTCCATATAAAAAGGAGAACTGTCAGCCAAATGCTCCAACCATGATGGTATCACCCTACTGTTCACTCCCGGGATACTGTTCTTGTGGATGAGTCTAGAATAGTTTGAGCAGACAGTTCATAGGAGACTCCGCCGAAACGTAGCAGCCAGACTGAGCATTCACACTTTGACCAAATTTTCACTCTTCCTAGGATCATCGAGCAAGCCGGACAATTCCATTTGCCTTGGTTTGTTAGTCTCCTCGACTTTAAAGCTGCATTTGATCACTAGATCGTCCAACAACACCGTCTAACGTGAGGTTAATTCCTTGCTCAGGAAAATTCGCTGTAGGACAATGGTTGTCCTTCCGTGGATTTTCAGCGGATTCTAAGCCGGTACTTGGAAGTTCAAATCCGATCTCTTAGCCACTGTGCCACTGCGCTCCAAAGGCTACGACTGATTTTTGATGTCATATCTCGTGTTGCGTTCCCCTCTTTCGTCGTAACTGGGCGTCTAACATAACAGAATGCCGACGCTGGGCGTAACGATTACTGCAGCGGTGCGATCTTTGAAATGGCCGCAGATTCTCACAACGCCTCGACTAAATACAGAAACGTCGGCCACCGACCGTGTAGAAAACTTAGTGGCGATCTGACGAATTTACGGCCCGAATGCCAAATCATCAGTAGACAAAGGTCATTCATGAATCATTCACCACCGGCCAAAATGTGCAGCATTCATCATTCAAGTGTGAACAGCCCACAGGCCCGTTACGGAC